ACATAATAATATTTATTTATAAGTAAATATTATATTGGATAATATAAAAATAAAGAATGTAAAATATTTTCTCCAATTTTACATAATAATATTTACTTATAGGTAAATAATATATTTGCTAATATAACTAAAAAGAATTATAATTATTTGATAAAATAATATAATTTAAAAAAAAAATAGAAAACTTATTAATAAAAAATATCAATTATATAAGTTAATAATATAGTAGTACAAGAAAAGTAAAATTTTAATACTCATTTTGGTAAATGTAAAAAAGGAAGAAGATAATTCCTTCACTATTTTTCTTTTTTACTGAAAAATATATTCATATTTAGGTTTTTGAAATTTTTAGAATAGTACTTAATAATTACAACTATAACTAAAACTACTTTCATTAATATTATTGAATGATATCATTGAAAATGCAAAAAGAAGGATAAACAAAATAATAAGTACTTGTAAATGCAAATTATAGAGGAGAATAATATAATTGAAATTCATTATCATAGGACCTTATCCTTACTATTAGGTCCGCTACACGAATCCTGTTCTGTCACTCCGCTCTATCAAAGGCCATATAATTAATCATACATAGGTCATTATATTACTTCTCCTACTTCCATCCAAATAATATAATTGAAATTATTTTTAGAAACATAGTTACCTCAAAATGCAAGTTACAGAAATTGTATAAACATATTTTGAAGAATAATATTTACTTATAAGTAATTATATATCTACTTATATAATAAATTTAGAGTATCTTCAAAGCTCATATAAAAATATAAAAAATAATTATTATCTAATAGAAGCCCTTATGTGTAAATGAATCAATTAGAATAATATTTACTCGTAAGTAAATTATATATCTACCTATGTAATAAATAGAGTATGTTAGAAACTAATATAATTAAAAATATATAAAAATAATTATTATCTAATAGAAGTCCATATAGACTCTATAATCTAATATGCCTTTTGACAATTTCATTTTAATATTAAAATTTTATTTTAATAATTAATATTTAATACACGTACCATGCATATGCATATCAATAGTTTTCGTAAAGCCCAGGAATTATAAAACTGTATCCAAGATAAAAGTATGGAGATTTGTTTTTAAATTCTCAAAATAAAATGAGATTCTTATGTAAATTTCCCTTTACTTTCTTGCTTGAAAAATATGAATAAGATGTGGCAAATGAAATATTTCCCCCGAGGGAAGGATAAGGGAAGTACTTTTACCGAAGAGAAGTTGAGCACAGATTCGATGTTTCTGGAGGAGCACACTGTGAATCTACTCCCTCGCACAGAACACTTAGGAGGATTTAAAGTCTAAAATTTTGGGAACTATATAATAATTGCTAGATTATTATTTCTAAAAGAAAATAAATTCGGATTTTGAGTTTTGTGCTTAGCTTTAAAAAATTGGTTGGGTTTTATTCAATCTCGAAGCATTGGTTTCTTCTGTCCATAGAGAGTTTACTTTGGTTTTTTTTTGCTCAAATCATTCTATGGGTTGTAAAGATTACATGGCCAAAATATGCGATCTAAAAAGTATACTAACATTTGTTTTACCCAGGGGAATAAATAGACAGTATGCTCCTGAGGGAGTAGGAAATCCTTTGGAAAAGAAAGTTTATAGACTTCAACCAAATCCACTTTTCTATCAAACCTCCAGTTTATGCGCACACATACGCAGCCCTGGGGCAGCCCTGGGGCTTTCCCCAACCCGAGAGAGAGAGAGAGAATTGGAGAGAGAGTATGGAGCTTGGATAGGCCAGGGTTGACTATATCCAATCATACATCACATCCCATGTGCATATATAATATAGATGGCCCATCACGCGAAGTTTTATTTTGGCATGACACAAAAACACCCAAGATGTGCCCATAAAAACCAACACTATAACAAGGACACTGGGCCTTAATTTTGTAACTCTTGTAAACCAAAAAGAAAAGGTTGTGGTTTGCATAAGGTTGCAAGCTTAAACAATCCGCACCTATAAATTTTATCATAAATATAATTTTGATATATAAAATTCTTAAGGTAGTCTAATTGTAAACGTTTAAACTTTAAAAATAGTTCAAATCCATAAAAATCTTGACAATGGACGGTCCACATAATGTGTTGCAAGATACACTATTTTGCGGATTTGAAATCTTTTTTTCTTTTCATATTCATACATGTCGATATCGAGATGATCAATTAGAGAGTTTTTCAACATCGAAACAACCATGGATTTTTTTAATTCTATATTTTGACGTTGCAACCTTATGTCCCCAAGAAGAAAACAATATTGGAAGCTGGACTAATCCTTGCCAAATCAATAAAGTAGTAAACTCTACAACACATCTCTCACGTGGGATAAAAGGAGTTGGGAGGCCTTGCATCAAAAGAAAGGACCACACATACCTTCATTTGCAATACAAGCAAAAGAATCCAAATAAAATTGAATACAGTTATTGCATTGAATATGGAGAGTCCAAACATTCTCATTGGATGTGTGTCATTTAGATGGTAGGCCGTTGATTTATTAAAAAATATTTGCTGGTCGTTGGCAGGTGATTTCAAAACACGGAAAATGGTAGTAGGTGTTGGCTTCCCAAGCCCTTTGTTGTGTTGCCATTGCTTTGCTTCTCAGATATCAGCCATTTTGAATTCGCCATGTTTTGGAGGATTAAAACTAAGTCTCTGGTTACTTTCCTTAACACTCACTGAAACAGTCTCTCTCATATGTATAAAATGAGCAAGTTCTTGGAGTCATGGTGCAAGAGGCGGCCTAAAACCAATCATCAACGATCATCACAGGTACCTTTTCCACCATTTCTCCAATACCCAAATGCCATTTTTGGGATCGAGATTGTATATCGAGAAAGAGAGAGAGAATCCGCCCTCCAGTTTTGAAATTTAACAAATTTTGAAAGGGATTGAGGGAGAGTGGCATTAAAACAAACTCTTTTTTTTTTTGTTCCTTTTGTAAATAGCAGGTAGATTTCAAAGGAAGCATGGAGGAATCATTCTCAGAGAGTGAGACCAACATCATAAAAAACCATGATTTTTCTAGTGGGCTTCACTTTTGGCACCCCAACGGTTGCCATGGGTTTGTGATCTCAGAGAGTTTCAATGGTATTGAGCCAGCTTCTGGTTCGAGTTTTGCTGTTATTGCAGAACGCTCTCAGTGTTGGCAGGGCCTAGAACAGGATATCACAGAGCATGTTCTACCTAATCTTTTGTATAAGTTCACTGCCTATGTACGCATATCAGGGCCCATCAATGGAGCCACCAATGTGCAAGCGACACTGAAGCTGGAGAACCCAAATTCAAATCCAAGCTATATGTTCCTAGGAAGGTAATATACTCATGGAAACTGACTTTTATCGGATTTTTAACTGAAAGTTTCAATTTGATTAATTCATTTGTGATGATGGGTAGCTACTTTCACCTTTTGCACTAAAAATGATTGTTTTTTCAGTTTGTGCAATTTATTTGTGGCGATGGGCAATTGATTTATCAATTTGGATTTATGAGGATTTGCTTGAATTGCAGAGCACAAGTGTCGAAAGAGAGGTGGGAGAAGTTGGAAGGACCGTTTTCATTGGTGACGGTACCTGAACGTCTGGTGTTTTACTTGGAAGGGCCCAATCCTGGCATTGACATGCTCATTGACTCTGTGAAAATCTCGTGTACTGCTCAAGGAAAGTTGGAGGTATGAGTGTTCTATAGATTTGGTTAAGGCCTACTTCAATGGTCCTTGTTCTCTGCCTGCAGTATATGCACTAATTTCTGGCTGGATACTTTTTGGACAATTCTTTTGATGGTTCTCATAGCTAAGGAATGAACCACTTTGAATTTTTTGCTCTAGATATATGATAATTTGTCCTTAATTCTTTGTTGAACAATGTGGTGTTCCATTGAAATGGTTACCATAACTCAAGGAACAGATTATCTTCAACTTTATGTGTTAGATGCGAGGTAATTTGGCAGTAATTCATTGCTGGCAATGTATGTTACATTTGAGCTATCTCAAACTGCATGACGTGCTTTCATATGCTTGTTCTACACCTGTTCCACTTCCTAATCATTTCATATGTTTGTTCTACACCTATCCCACTTCCCAGTCATCTTGTTGAAGGGAATTAGTATTTCTTTGTTTCTTTTTACACCGTTTCTTAACTTTGAGTTTCATCTTTCATTATCCATATAATGAGTGGGTAAATAAACCCTAAGCCATGCTATACTTGTTCATGAAAGGAAGTGACAGGGTCCAATTTATATGAAGATGAGAACATAATTCTGAACCCACGATTCGAGAATGACCTTATCAACTGGTCTGGAAGGGGCTGCAAAATTGTGTTGCATGACTCTATGGGAGATGGAAAAGTCCTTCCCTTGGAAGGGAAGGTATTTGCTGCTGCAACAGAACGTACACAAACTTGGAATGGGATTCAGCAAGAGATCACAGGCCGTATTCAGAGAAAGCTTGCCTATGAGGTCTCTGCAACAGTGAGAATATATGGTAGTTCTAAAAATGCAGATTTGAGAGCTACATTGTGGGTTCAGAAACCAGACCTGAGAGAACAATACATTGGCATTGCCAGGTTAGGACTTTCCTTCATGTTCCGATGTGACTAAAGTAAAAGGTATTTTGGTGTTTTTATTTTATTTTTATTGGTTTAAGTTCTTGATTAAACGCTGTGTTATCAATGAAGTGTGCAGGCCTCAGATACGACCTGGTCACAGTTGCAGGGGAAGTTCCTTCTGAACGGCTATGCGAACAAAGTTATTATCTATCTAGAAGGACCACCTGGAGGAACTGATATCCTTGTAAATAGTTTGATAGTCAAGCATGCAACCAAGCCTCCTCCTACCCCACCTCCTGTCATTGAGGTAATTGCAGTGTAAACTATTTCGGATATATTGGATTACTTCTTCATGTCCTTGGTCGTTCTTCGTCATTCTTGTTCGATCTTTTGTATCCAACCAAAGTCTGTGTACAGATTTTGGGTGTTAATTTGATCTGGAGATAGTCGGATTAGGAGCAAATTGGACAGTTGTACTGCTCATACAACTTAATTACTTTCCTCACTTGATTAGTATGAAAAATATGTGGAAACAAATTCTTGACATATGGAAATGAATTAATTTTTTGTCATCTCTCTCTCTCTTTAATCTTTCAAGCTATGGCTATGATATTCTTCTTGACTATCCCTGATAATGTTACATGTATAGGTCATCCTTGTAATTGCTCCGCACTCTAGAAAATTGTACATTGGAAAACAATGGAGAGAGAGTTGATTACCTTTCCATCTTTCCCATTGTTTGTTAGTCCTGTTTCATGCTTTCTGATGCCTTTCATAGTGCTATTGATAATATTTGTGTAGTCAGTTGCCAATTCTCTATACTGGGGCATTCTTAGGCAGTCTCCTTAAGTTGGAAGGCCTCATAACTAGAAAAAATTTGTGAGGATTTGGTATCTGAAAAAAATAACATCTAAACATACCGTGAAATGTTTAGAGTTCGCCATTTATATTTAAATATGTTCATCCTACTTATTGAATTCTTTAATTCAAATATCTTGACTTTCCACCAACTGATGATGATGCTATGAAATCCATAAGCTGTCATATCTTGATTGTGAGAAATAGTGTGGTCACTGAGTTTAAGAAATTGGTCTGTTTACCAAATTATGAGTTGAGCAATATAGCTTGAGCAGAGTGAGCATTAATTTAATACAAGTGGGTGAGTGGTAACAACAGGTATTGATCACAAAGTACATCATATAGTGAAACACGAGTGGGGCAGAGGAGCAGCTTTGACTAAGGCTCAAGTCAGTAATTTTGTATGATCCTATAAGTTTGATGTCTGTTGCTTCTAGAAATTAAAGCTGGCTTATGTAGGGTCAGGAATTACCTAATTGGTGTGGGAGGGTGGCAACAATGTGTCTGTCTATTAAGGGATGTTAGCAGGGGAATATGCCATTGCGGGATCCATGGAAATTTGTGAAGTGTGGGTGGGACTCTCTAGTATTTATTATCTTGAAATCCCTCGAGGTTGGTTTTAGGTGGTTGATGAAAACAGCGTGCAGCCTCAGATACCATAGCATTGGTGAAGAACTAGCGTTAAAAGGAATAATAGTAAAAAGCTAGTGGTGTTGTTTTATGCATTTTTGGGCTGTGATTTACACTATCCAGTTCATATATAGGAAGAGGGGAGAAAGAGGGAGTTGGGGGTTGGGGGGATCCATCAGACCATCAGAGTATTGTTTAGATTCTGTAAATGGAACTGAACCTATTGATCTTCCATTTATTACACTCATTTGGAATAGTCCTATGAACAAAGCAAGTCAGTTTCGTAATTTTATTGAACCAGAAGTAGTATCCCGAAGTTTGTGAGAAGTCCCATAGCTAGCTTATGCAAATGGAACTTTTAATTGGTGTGCACAGAATTGAATTAAGAATTGGTTGGATGGAAGAACAAGGTTTCATCGAGATTGTCTTTGCGACTGATGGGTGGCTGAGCTATAACGTAGAAGGTTGGTGAGGCTTCATAATTGTAAAAAACTTCAAAAGCTAATTTAAGAAAAGTCAGAGTCTTGGAGATATATAGTACCATACTGGATATGTGACAAGGAAATATGGTAAGGGGAGCAAGGAAGTTAGTGCTGTTATCACTTTATATCAGATTGGTGGTCAGCCTTTTGGTGGTTGGAGGGATATGGGTGGGTGAGGGTGTTCAGGTAGAGAATTAACCATTTGGATGGGTAACCTGGTCATGGTTGATTTTCAAGCAATTTGGAAGTATTGTTTGAATCTGTTGTTCTACTTACTAGCCTATTGATCTAGCTTTGAATATTGGTTCTGTGGTTAGATTGTTTTGAGAGGACTCAAGAAAAGATCATGGGCAATTTGAATTTTGGTAATGCTTCAAGGGATGATGAGTCAGAGGATGTGGTGAATTTTCTTGGTTTGTTATATTTTACGTGCTATCAGTGTGACAAATTTTCTTGGTTTGTTATATTTTACATGCTATCAGTGTGATGAGACCACATGCATGTGAATGTGGCAATTATTGGGTGCTTTCTTGGTTTGATCATATCATCATGCTTTTCACGTGTTCTTGATGGTATCTTTCTTCTATTCAATTGGTGTGGCATGTCTTTGTTCACTTCAGTTGTTGGAGATAAGATCTTGGTTCACTTTAGACGTTCAGCTCTTTGGTAGTCACTTTAAAGAAAACTACTTACGACATTGAACCCCATTTTCTGAAACTTTCATGTTAATGAGTCATATAAACAATTGAGCAGCATCTATGTCCATTGTGATTTGGTAAAGAGAGTTTCTATATTTACTTTTTACCGATTTTCACTGTTAACTGGATGAGTCTGAATATTGTTGTTGACATGTAGGCAGTATATTCATTTTTTAAAAGGGGAGAGTGCTTAGAAATTAGAGTCCTTTCATAGTTGTTTTTGGTTCTTAAGGTAAAAAATTACACGACTTTTGAGGATGGAAATGGGAGGTGGGGTCTAATTGTGTAGACATGAGAGAGGAAAGATTGCTAATAGAATTTTATAACAATGTTTTGAGAGCCTTCTTTCATTCAGGGAATGTCTTGAATATGGTAAGTTGGGTTTGCAAGGTTCATTATCATCTTGGCACAATGGTGGGATATCTAAATATATAAATGTCATCATTCAAAATTTTTGCCATGTACCATTGCAGGCCATATGAAAGAAAACTGTTCGGAATGATTGTGGTTACAGGTGCTCTGTGCTAAATTTTCAGGATTCCTTCAGTTTTGAGATCCCAAATGAGGTGCTCCTATGCTTCTCCAAAGGTATTAAAGAATCTTAAATATCAAGTACAAATACTTTCAGGATCCATGATATAGGTGTGATAGAACCTAGCTGAGTTGTCCTTGGTACCACTCTAATTTAATCCCTAACTATTTTGTTGGCTAACCTACTCAAAAGGAATAAAAATGGAAAATGGGCTGTTCATTTTTCAGCTCGTTCTATATTTGTCATGGTCATTGTAGAAACATTACCAATGGTTTAGAAGGGGCCCTGTTCATCCTTCAACATTCTGGCCTTCCGTGTTTTGTTGCTAATATGTTGTGGGAATAACAAAGCTTTAGCTTGCATTTGTGCTAGTTAGAGAAAAATTATGGCATCCCTTCCTGTTCTTTTTAAAGTTTAATTTAAGGAAAAATAACAGGGAACACATTAATGGGGCTTTTTATCGCACTCCTTAGAGTCATGTTAGAAGCTCAAGGGATTGGTATTCTTCTTTGACATGACAGAACTGAAGAATTGGATGAATATATAAATTGTATGATCTCTTGCATGGCTTCCGTCTGCCAAATTGGCTTGATGGTGCAAATTAACAGATAATTCATCAGAATGAATTGGCATCAGAATTGCTCATGGACATTTCAATGCCATATCTATTATTTAGTACATGTTCGGTATGAGATGAAGACTTCCCAAGAATTCACCTATATGTCTCTGGCCTTAAGAGTGCTTAAATTTCGATTTATGGCCAGGCATACCCAGAGACTTTGTAATGCCTGACATATCTCAGTGAAAAGGAAACAATTGTTATTCAGGTTCGTTTGCGAAAGAAAGTCCGATATGTTTCTGATTTTTCTTCCTGGAACAAACAACTTTGCAATATAAAATCTCTTATTTTTTTATGGGGATAGAATCATTAAAGTTGAAACATATGCCATTTAGAAATTCGAATCAGGGTAGTGGAAAAATACATTAAATTGGAAACAATTGTTATTGGCAAAAGAAAATCCAAAATGTTTCTAATTTTTCTTCCTGAAACAAACAATTTTGCAATGCAAATCTCTTATTTTGTTATGGGGATAGAATCATTAAAGTTGAAACATAGGCCTTTAGAAATTGGAATTAGGGTAGTGGAAAATACATTGAATTGCTTGGAAGCAAAAACAGAATTCTTCCCACCTATACCAACTTTGCTTTGTAGATGATCATTACCCTTTATTTCATCCCATCGAGTGTTCAGCTAACTCTGTGCTCACAGTTGATTATCTTCACACTCATTCTTTCATGATGTTTTTCTTTTTTGTACTGTAGAAAACTCTATTTGGAGTCAATATCGTTGAGAACAGCAATCTAGACAGTGACCTAAGTGGGTGGTTTCCTCTCGGTCCATGCTCTCTCAGTATTGCAAGTGGTTCTCCTCAACTTCTTCCTCCAAAGGCAAGGGAATCTCTAGGACCAGGTGGACCCCTTAGTGGTCGCTACATCCTTGCAACAAACAGAACTCAGACATGGATGGGCCCTGCTCAAACTATCACAGATAAGTTGAAGTTATTCATGACCTATCAGGTATCTGCTTGGGTTCGGGTTGGTTCAGTTGCAAGTGGTCCTCAAAATATCAATGTTGCCCTCGGAGTAGATAATCAATGGGTAAATGGGGGTCAAATTGAGGTTAATGATGGAAGATGGCATGAGATTGGGGGGTCATTTAGAATCGAAAAACAGCCATCCAAAGTTATAGTTTATTTGCAGGGCCCTTCTTCAGGGGTGGATCTGATGGTTGCAGGATTACAAATTTTCCCTGTTGATAGGCAAGCGAGATTTAAACATCTTAAGAAACAAACTGATAAGGTAGTTTGTCAAACAACAATGGCCTTACATATACTATAGCATTATTCATACATTTTGTAACAATTCTTTAGACTAAAATATTTAAGTATAAATTTCGCTTTGTGGGTTTTTGCAGGTACGGAAGCGTGATGTTGTTATCAAATTTTCAGGACTTGATACCACTGGTTTGTTTGGCGCCTTTGTGAAAGTCGAACAGACTCAAAACAGTTTTCCTTTAGGGTCATGCATTAATAGGACCAATATTGATAATGAGGACTTCAATGACTTTTTTGTGAAGAATTTTAATTGGGCCGTGTTTGGAAATGAGTTGAAATGGTATTGGACAGAACCCCAAAAAGGAAATTTCAACTATAGGGATGCAGATGAGCTCTTAGATTTTTGTACAAGCCATGGTATTGATGTTAGAGGTCATTGTATATTCTGGGAAGTGGAAGGTGTTGTTCAATGGTGGCTGAAACCAATGAACAAAAATGACCTAATGACTGCTGTTCAAAACCGTCTTACTGGTCTCCTTACGATGTACAAAGGGAAATTCAAACACTATGATGTGAACAATGAGATGCTCCATGGCTCTTTCTATCAAGATAGACTAGGAAAAGACATCAGAGCTTACATGTTTAAAACAGCCCATCAACTCGATCCCTCTGCAATTCTCTTTGTGAATGATTATCATGTTGAGGATGGGTGTGACCCAAGATCATCGCCTGAGAAATACATTGAACAAATCCTTGATTTGCAAGAACAAGGTGCACCGGTTGGAGGGATAGGAATTCAAGGCCATATCGATAGCCCTATTGGTCCTATAGTTAGCACAGCATTGGATTCATTAGGCTTACTTGGCCTTCCTATTTGGTTCACTGAACTAGATGTATCATCTGTTAATGACCATATAAGAGCAGATGACTTAGAGGTCATGCTTAGAGAAGCCTTTGCTCATCCAGCAGTGGAGGGTATCATGCTATGGGGATTTTGGGAACTGTTTATGAGCAGAGAGAATTCTCACTTGGTTGATGCTGAAGGCAGTCTCAATGAAGCTGGTAAAAGGCTTCTTAGTCTTAAGCAAGATTGGCTTTCGCATTGTCATGGATGTATAGATGACAAAGGAGAGTTCAAATTTAGAGGTTTTTATGGGGCATACACTGTTGAAGTTACTACTCTCACAAATACTTATACTAAGACTTTTGTTGTTGACAAGGGGGATGTTCCTTTGGAGCTGACTATTTCCTTTTAATTCTTGAATGCTGGTTTCTTTCTGTTGTGTACAAATAAGGATCACCATTCATTTGTTCAGGCTCAAGGTTGTAGTCATGGAAGAAATGGTTTAGCATTTGATGACTCACTCATTGGGAGTACAGTGCTGCGCTTTGATTACTAAAATGGCTTTTGTTTACTATCCACTGGAGATAAAATTTGCGGCCCTTCATCTGTAGCATTCATGAGGCCCTTGTTTATTTGTGGCTAAGCAAAGTAACATTGGTTATATAGTCATTTGTATATTTTCATTTGTAAACCTGAATAACTACGATTGTGACTTTAAAGTTCTTCTCCATAACTCGTTTTCCCCCAATTTTATTAAAATCTTTAAATAATAAGTTTCGAAATTTGAGATTTATCACTCCCCTCATACATTCCATTCTTAACCTCAATTGCTAAGCAGATTTAGCAAATCTATATTATCTCTAACTGCTATCAATTCATAGATTCTCTCTTTCATAAGTGTAAAGAAAGTAGATTTCCAAAGATGACATTTTTGAAGAGTAGATGAAAACATTTGTTTTAGAATGGCATAATTTAGTTGGATATAAATAAAAGACTATAAATGAAAATAATTATAACAAATTATGTAAAACAAAGCTTCGATACAATTAGCTGGTTTGCTTACCATTTTAGAAAAGTGAGCATTTTGTGCATCTCTGTTTTCAATTGTGCGAGAGAAAAATTTCTGAAGTCTGGATGCTTTTAAGAGTTTATAATATAGTAAAAAGCAAAGGGAAAACTATGTGTATCATTATCTTCATAATTATCAGAGTCTTATGCCAACTATTTGAGGTCAGCTATATGAATCATAAGTCATCATATTTTTTCTTATAATTTCATCCATGTTCTTTTGAGCATTCCCCTTGATATTTTTAGAGTCTTCTGCTTGAACCAAATTGCCCTTCATAACCAATGCTATATTGGGTTTATATAGTAAATGGACAACCCACCTAAGTCTATTGTCCCTCATCTTATCACCTATTGAAGCCAAATAACCCCTTATAATATTATAATCCAAAATAACCTCCTAGATTATGGAAAGCCTATAGATGCCCTGCAAATTAAAAGAAAATGATATTTAAGCCCTTCTTGACTAATTTCATTTTCTAAATTACGAGACTTATCCTTTTTCTTTTATTAATAACTTGATCATATAAATGAAGTTCGTGATGCCTCTTTTAACCTATATGCAAGGTACACATAATGAAAGAAAGTTGGGGGTTGAAGGCAGGTTGCTGAAGAGAGAGAGAGAGAGAAGTTAACTGGTGATGAAGAAAGAGAAAAAGTTGGGGGTTGAAGGCAAGTTGCTGAAGAGAGAGAGAGAGAGAGAGGGAGGAAGAGGTTAACTGGTGATGAAGATAGAGAGAAAGGGGGGGGAATTGTTTGAGGTTTGGATGATAGATTCATTAGAAGAAAAAAAAGAGTAAATATTATAATTTGGATAATAGAAAAAGTGAGGGGTTAAATGTTATTTTTTTTTTACTTGGAGGGAGTCCATGGGATTTCTAAAGATGTAGGGGTTTATTTGAGATTATGATTCTAGAGAGTACGGTATACATATTTTTCTTTGAAGTAAAACATACTAATTAGTTGATTAGTTGTGGAATTGTAAATCCTCAAATTTGATACTAATATGTTTATTATTTTTATTATGGGTTTTATTAGTATACTCCCACACATGTATTATTTTTTTAATGTACTTAATATTTTTGGACATCCGTTATCCTTGCTTTGTAATTCAAAAGTCTTAGAGGAAGGACATTTTTTTCATTAGGAGGGGCAGACTAGATCATATTATAAGAACTCGTGGCATTCTATTAGTTGTTAAAAAATAATTAATACTCTATATAGGTGATATTATACATTGTGTTGATAATGTCGTTCTCCATTATATGGATATCATTATCTTTTCTACTCTTAATTCTTACTGAGGCAACACCTCTCAAGAATACTTCTTTCTCTGCTGAATTGTGTCTATTTGAAATGTGCGACCCCTCTTCAATCGAGAAGTCCCCTTTTATACTGCTAAACTATGGTTTTCCAAGGGATAACCACACATTTCCCATCTTCAAATCTTCATCCTTCATCTTCATCTTGGATTTATCTATTCATTTGAATCACAGAGTTTGCAGGGCATAGTCCTTATCTTCATAATGTTATTTATCTCTTGTGTTTATCTTTTCACGCTGGTGATTTTATTACTAGACTGTTGACGCAGATACAATTGCAGGCACTTGTCTTTGAATTTCAAACTTTTGAATCTTATGGTCTCACAGAACCAAAATCAGGGATTCGTTAGTGTTGTTAGTGGGCTACAATCACTTCCGTTGTTCAACTCAATCCATGCTATACTTTTTAAGGGTGATAAAGCAAGGAGCCAAGAGTTCAACAATACTGATATTATGAGAGAATTTCTTATTTCGAGGAAACAATTCCTCTTTTGTTGTAACTGAATGTTGTACGATCTGTAAAGATTTTAAGGCCTTTAATTATTGGACGGTGATTCTGATGGGTTAAGCCATCATTGGATAGCTTGAGATTGCCGTTGAGACAGAGATGAGTTAAGCCATCTCTAAGCCGTATGAGATTGCCATTGAGGCTGCGATGGGTTAAGCCATCTCTAGGCATCTTGAGACTGCTACTCAGCTTGAGATGGGTTAAGCCATCTCAGGGCAGCTTGAGAGTGCCGTTGAGGTCGAGATGGGTTGTAGCTTGAGACTACTATTGAGGCTGAGATGGGTTAAGCCATCTCTGGGCAGCTTGAGACTGTTATGAAGCTGAGATGGGTTAAGCCATCTTTGGCGAGCTTAAGATTGCCATTGATATTGAGATGGGTTAAGACATTTCTGGGCAGCTTGAGACTGCAATTGAGGCATGAGTTATGCCATCTCTGGGCAGCTTGAGACTGTTGTTGAGGCTGAGATGGGTTAAACCATCTCTGGGCAGCTTGACACTATCTCTGGGTAACTTGAGACTTCCATTGAGGCTAAGGTGGGTTATGCCATCTCTGGGCAGCTTGAGACTGCTGTTGAGGCTAAGGTTGGTTAAGGCATCTCTGGGAAGCTTGAGACTACCGTTGAGACTGAATCTTCGAAAGTCTTTGTTGAATCTCAAAACTCATAGACTAAACCATGCTCAAATTATCATCAAATAGGGCACACTCGAATGATATCATTAAGAACCACACTTATTCTTGATCATCTACTAAAGACAATCGTCCATCGTATGTTCGCTACATGCCTTCTAGTGGTTGTTCTTAGTCTTGCATTGAGACTAAATTATTATACTTTCAAGGGCAAAGTATGGTTCATTAGCAACTTTATCTTTGTTAAGCCTTCTTTAGAATGTATCTGGTCTTGTTTAGGATAAAAGTACACCCAACAAAATCTCCTCAGACACTTCACTCATGAGAGAACCTCAAAAGGTGTGTAGAATTCGTCTAATCTCGAGTGGACTCGTTAACATTGTATGTCTTACACCCTCTTCGTGAAGGCAGTGCATGCGAACTTTTTCCCAATCATCTTAATTAAACATGGGAACGGATAACCATCTCATCCATCATTTCCCTATACATCCGTCATCATTTTTGGGGAAAAGATCCTTCATCTTCTTCACGGGATTCTATAAATGCATCGGCTACCCTGGTTTTGTCAGTTCGTATTCCCAACGGTTTCCAACTCTTCACCTTCTTTTAAACATGTCTTCCCTTGTTCTTCCTATGCACCTCTCTATATCTCTACATCCTGAACATACTGTCGCCACCCGTGGTGGCGAGAGTGAGGAAGGGCTTACCACTAACATCCCTATGGCTGCTAATCTTTCTGGGGCCGAGAAAAAGTGCAAAGCAGCCTTCACTATTCCAAGCTTGGTTTCTTCATCAAAGGAAGCCATTTGTTGCTGACGTCATCTCCATATCTCCAAGGAGATTCCTAAAGCCGGGTTTATGCTGGATCCCAAGTCTAGGGAGATTGCGAGCTTGAGGGAAATGGTGGTTCGTCTCCACCGGGAGGTGGAGCACCACCAAAATATGTCCGACTTCTATCAAGGAGAAGTCGAATGAGTTAAGAGCTTCTGACCTCTATGAGGTGGAAGCTATCTAAAATTAATAGGATGATTCGCTTTCGGGAGTAATGCCCCAAGGCATGTGCAGGTGGGGCTTCTTCTTCTTCTTTCTTTGTTTTATTTATTTATTTATTTATTTTTTTTAAAAAATATAAGTGCTAAATCCCCACCTTCTTCTATCAATGAAGGTTTTTTGTTTTGTTTGAATTTGTGCCTTGTGCTATGTAATTTGGCCTTTTGCACATCTTGAATATGCATATTATTTTTTGCATATTATCTATTTGCTTATTTGATGTAAGATAAGCTTGATTTCAAAATTCAAGATTTTTATCCTTATATTTTAAATAATGCCAAGGGAATCGGGTAATATGATAATAAGACAAAAAGTCTTTCGCATTCCTTGTGCGGCATTTTGGTAAAGTGGTTATTAGTCATCATTATCCTGCCATCAGGATTTTCGGTTTTTCGAGATGAGAAGTCCAAGCATCATATCTCTCGTTAAAACACCCATCTCTTTGCATCATTTCATCCTCAACCTCTACCTTCAGAAATCTTCCGCCTTACACAATCATTTCTGGTATCCTTTCAATTTTCCTTTTGGCAGATCTTCTTCATCAGAGAAACCTTCTGCATCTTATTCAAGGAGAGCCTTCGTCATCTTCTTCAAGAGAGCCTTCAACATATTCTTCAATCTCCAAAGAAGTTTTAGACCTTGCTTTTCGACCTTGTTTTAATCTTTTGAGGAGTTCTCAATTTTTAGTTCCCACAACTCTTCTATCTTCAAACTATCCAAGGGGAGTATTTTTCCCTTCTAGGGATTTTGCTTTGTTTCCATATTTCTTTGTTTATTTCCTTCATCCATCATGATTGCAATTCTCTTTCCTAAGCACATACTGGACGCTCCGAAATGTGGATGCTTAAAAAAGTAGAATATTTAGACAAACATTAGACTCCAAATAGAAACTAGAAAACATCACATTAGGGGTGAAATTCATCCATGCACTTTATAGCTGAAACACAAGCTTTATAAAATATCCTAGGCACTGAACAATTCCAGAGGTTTAATCATTTGTTACAATTTACATTGACTGAAGAAAAGAAAATAAGCTGAAATCCTTTGATTCTGGCTTTGAAACCTATAAGTTCATTTCTAAAGAAGAAAATAAAGA